CGAGCGAATTTCGTGATGACAAGTTTTCGGCTTCTCATTTTCTTAGTTTAAAAGATTTTTCTTTAATTTTTTTTGCAATGTAGCACTTATTTACAAGGTAAGGAACATTTAAATAGGGTATTTTACAGAAAGTTTTTGGGGTTCGGTCTATGGCGCTTGGACTTTAAAGATTCGAGGTCATTTTTTCCACAGACAAACGAAAAAGGCCAAACTAATGAAAGATGTTAGGTAGCTATAGCAACATAAAGATTAAAAATTTCGTGCAATGTTTGTTTAAAATTTCTCGGCGACGGAAAAATGTTGACAGAGGTCTTTTATAATGTTTAGTTTCAAATTGGATCAAGACTTGTTCTGTATTCAAACAAAGAAAGTTAAGTCAAAGCAGTGCAAAGGAATTTTGACGTATGGTCTTTCTGCAATATTAAATAAAGAAGGCCAGAGAATCTGCGCTGAGTATCAATTTTTTTCTGAATTTAATTTTGCTTGGTTCTCTTTTATAACTGTGCGAGTGTCTAACTAATTGAAATAAAATAAAGCCTTGTTTACACCATGCTGAACATTTTCAGTTACGATCTACGAAACGAATTTGAAAAGACTGGAAGCAAAGAGAAATGCTTCGAATGTGCAAAAACGAAAAAACGTGGAAATTTGCCTAACATGTCAAAAAGACGCAAGATTTTCACGTGACTTTGTTGCCACCCAACAGAATTTACCCTTGAAAGGGTTCCTTCGCATTAGAAATATTATAAGAATGTTAAAAAAGTGTAACGGATAATTCCGAAAGTTCAGTGGAGCTAGTACCTAAGARCCTCGAATGTCCAAAGTAAATTTGCTGACAGATTTTAGTAGAGGATGTCGAAAGATTGTCCCGTTGTCTGGATTGTACCCCGATATCGGCGGCGCATTGCCAGGCTTTCCATTTGAGCATCGGCAAAAAGATGCAATGCTCACACAAGGATAAGGGATTAGTGCAGTGAGACCAGTGCTTTTAATATACGGGAGACATTAGCTAATGAAATGTTTACTTTTCCACGAGTATTATAATAACTTGAAATTAGATACCTTAACTGACCTTGCTAGTACTAGTAGCACTCAAGATGCTCCTCGAGAATTCGACTCCACTAACATGATCTTTCGTAACAATTAAGATACCCCCTCAAGAATTCGATTCCAAAAAGACATGATCAAGTGTTCTAATCATAACAATTCGATTCCAGGATAACACTCAAAATTCAACTCAGGAATTCCGTCTCAAAATGACATGATCAAGTGTTCTATTGGATTTTCTGCACCATCGTTAAGTGCATGGTATAGATACCCCTCAAGAGTTCGATTTCAGAATAAAATAATGTAGTTTTCTATTGACTTTTTGTACCACCGTAATGTAATAAAGATATACCCTCAAGAATTCGATTTCAGCATGATATGATCAAGTGTTCTGATGATTTAACTCAACACTCAAGAAGCCACTCAATTGCATGAATTCGATTCCAGGATATCACGATCAAGTGTTCTACTGATTGCTATTTAAAGCCTTAATTCCGCTACCTTAATTTGATTATGCCATTTAAGTATCAATTAACAAGTTATTACGCTCTCGTATTACAAGGGTTTAGTGATGCCAGCGGCAATAGGTTACAGTATCAACACGCGATGCATAAGTTTAACTAATTCTTGGCGATTGTTTGGTGTTTTTGTGGTTCACACTTGTTGCTTAAAGAAAATAAACTGTTTATGATCCTGCATCCTACATCGTATGTACAAGGGAGCGGAACGCCTTAACATAGTCATCATTTATTCTCGTCATAAAGTTATTACACCAAACGGTAGAGTTCAACCCCCTATAACCACAATAAAAACAAATCAACTCGAGTATAGTAGACACTTTGTCGTTATTGTCTGGGYTGTTCTGATATCAACAAAGCAGTGCAAAGAAGAAAATACACATGGCGTTTTATTGCATGCATGTCATATGTGGCAAGGATTAATAAACCGCCATAAAACCATCCAAGCGCACGCAAACGGACGATATTAAGATTGATTAGTTTACGATTATAAAGCTAGAAACAATGTAATAGAACATCAACGAAATGTTAAAGCTCGTTTGAGCGCTTATCACGCGAATCATGAAAGTCGTGGGCTGAACTTAATAACCGCAAAGTAAAACTGCTCGTTTCGAAAGCAATTTGCAGGTAAAACGTCGTTCCTTATAGGTTCAGCTCATATCTTGCTCTCCATTTACAGTTGATCAAGTACCTTCCGACAATGAATAAACAAATTTCATTCTAACAGAAAAATTACTCAAATAAGGCATATTAAAAACTTAATTTTCGGGCTGCCAAATGTGATAAAGCTTTTGCGGGATCGGTTGAATCTTTAAAGATTCATTTATAGYGATCAATAGCATGGAGTAAGCGCACCCGCTAGCAAATCGCCCCACATGGAGCTATGCCTCCCGTGTTTGATATGATTTAGAGTAGATCCCGCGCCATGTCATGACCGTGTCGTTATCGTACTCTTTATAAAACCATTCGGGATTCTTGCGTAATCGTGTGGTTTAAAGCGTTTCACGCGCATACAAAAGAAAACTAGTATTTATGAATATTATACTACCACCTACTTCCAGATACAAGGATGCATCCCTCTGTAAGACATACACCAGGCTTTGTTGAGGGGGACACTGGGGGGCTTGTTGGCTTTCCTTGCCCTGTTGGTTCCTTCCCGCCGCTAGTGGCATCCTTCGCCTTTTCGTAGGCATACAGGCCCACAAATACCGCAACCAAAATAAACAAGACAAGAGCCAACACTATAAGAATTTTTTCTAACTTGGCGCGGTTCGGTTTAAAGCCGATCTCTGTGAGAGCAACTTGTGAGGAAGTTGTGGAAGGCTCCCCAAGCTCAACTTCTCCGTTTACGTAAGACATGGCGAATCCAGCGAGCTCTTTTTGCTTGGATAGCTGTACGTTTAACCCGGACTTTAAGCTTGAATTGTAGTTTGATAAAACAAACTATGCAGCGTCATGTGATAATTAAGTTACTGTTTGATTGACAGTGCACAGAAGATGACATCAAATAAAAAGCTGTTCCACTCCTACCCTTAGTAAGTACCGTCTAAATGCCCTCTCCGTCCCCTCCCCTATCCGTGCCTAAATAATCCTACCCTTGGTTCGCACTAGCGGGCGAAATAGCTCTCAACTTGTGAGTAGCATAACAAAGAAGTCAACAAAGCTTTAAATTGCTTGAAGTGACCTCCGTCATTTCGAACAGCTCAGGTAATCCTTAGACCAATGGATTACAGAACTGAAAACACTTTTATGAGGAAAACATTATCTTTATTTAAAAAAATCCAGTGAAAGTTTCTAGAACAGCTAGGACAGGAAACCCGACAAAAGGATAGGGGACTTTCTAGAGTATGCTATGTTTCACAAATAATGCAAACAATTCACTTGGCAGTGACGTGTAGTCGACAAGAGACAAATACCAGCATTAAATGCGGTCGTGTTTTACATTTTTCATATATGGAAAATGAGGTGACTTCTCACATGACTCATATCCATTCGCAATCCGTTTCCATCCATCGATTTAAAGGTCAAATCTTAAAATATCTCCATTCATATAGTACAAAGGGATAATAAGAGTACGTTTTTGCTTATATTACGATGCATTTTTATTTTCAAACTTGAGCAAAAGCTCGAAAGAGATGCTGGTAGACCATGTCCCTTTAGGAGATTTCTAAATAGTTCCCTTTACAGCTGATCGACACTCGCTATAGCGGGCACTTTGAAGTACGATCGCGGATCAGTGCGTCCATGAGACCGATGGTGATTTTTCTTCATTTATATAAATTATCATAAATATATACAGCCTTTTGCAAAAATTATGAGAATTGTCTAAATATCTAAATATCATAATATCCATATCCATATATTGTCCGGAACACTCGGGTTTGCTAGAATAATTCATTGTTGACATTAAGAAAATGTTCAGAACTACGGATAAGTCAGTCGCCAAAAAAAACTAAACAACAAAGACAAGGGACTAAGGGCATCGCGCGGGATCATGCATTTGATATTATGATATTTAGATATTCCAACAATTCTCATAATTTTTGCAAAAGGCTGTATACAGCTGTAATTATAATTATTAACATATATAAACATACCTTCTGCGATTTTCTCCGGAATTTGAAACTCAATGCATGGCTCATTTTGTTTTTCCATCGATGATATATGTTTTGACATGCCAACATCGAAAAGCGATAAAAAAATAAAAATATATATCATATAAAAAGTCCTACATTTTGGTAAATCCATTATAAAATACTTTGGGTCTTTTGGAAGATAATTTCTGAAACAAAATCAAAGAAAAAATCATATTTAGGTATATTTTGCCTTGTCGAAAATTAACTTSAGATTATGATGTAACAAGCGAGAGTGCACGCGCGCGTCAGGTTAATTGATTCCCGCCTTTTTTCAACCCGCCCATCTCATGAATATTCAAGTTAATTAATGCTAAAAAACATTGAATCTTCCTTAATCTGAATTGCAGCAGTGAAAAAAAAAACAATTCAAATAATATTATATGCACTTTTAAATCAAGAAATGTTGGATAATGTAGAATCTGAATTAAGAAGTAATATTTATTCGGAATTTTCAAGAGTCGACACATTTTTCAAATGTACCGKCCGCACAGCAAATAAAGAGACTCTGTCACAAAACCTTGAGACCAAAAAATGYCCTAACTACTGCATTTAGTGCGAGCAAATAGCGATAGAACTAGTTCTGATTAACTTATATTTTAACAGGTAATTTTTCACTTTATAAAATAAAATAAAAACATTTTAACAGGTTCTTATGTTGCTAAGCAACATCACTGGTATCCAGAAAATCGATAATTAACTTTATTATTATGCCCACTAGGCAAAAAACTGGAAAAGGAGTTGTTTCAGTGGTTTTAGGTTAAGCACATCTAATTGTCGCTCGTCTTAKTTCAGTTTCATAAAATAGATGCCCTTCTGTAGAATTGGCGTCAAATCATCGTTTTTGGAAACTTCGGAACTAAACAAGTGCGYCTATAGCTTAAATATTTAAGTGCACCAAAACTTATCGAGGAGTTAAGTTAACAAAGCTCTTATRAATAAATTGTCTAAGTAGACYTACCTACAGAAGAGAGCTGTCAAACTAGAAGTGATCACTCTGTACTTTGTAAAGTGCTGATCTTTCGACGCGTGTTAATTGCAATAAGATCACGTTTATAAGTGTATTTATACAACATGGAATAAAATCAAAACATAGCAGGTCCTTTCCAAGGGATATTTATACTATTTTTTGCTGTGGTTCAGTCAACTTTAGCTGGGGGAGCGTTTAATATAGACACAATATAAGCTATGAAATGAAATTTTGAAAAGATGAAAAAAAAGAAAAAAAGAGACAGAATGGAGGGAACAGTCGAAAATAGAAAGAGATAGACAGGAAATGGCGGGAAAGGAGGGAGAAAGAAAGAGACGAATCAGAATAAAGCCGAGGACGATACTGAAAGAGCTTGGAGTGAAAATTGGTGCCGCCTTGACAATTTCTGTGTATAGGCTCAATTGTGTGCAAAATATGCAGAAATTTAGATAAAACTCGTGAGATTTCAAACTATTTCCATTGTCTTCTATACTCACAGATCTCTTGCATTTRCACGAGGTGTCATTTACCGAATAAAAGAATATATTACATGGTTTTATTGAGGCTAACACAGTGAAAGAGATCAACAGTAGAGGACACAAGAATGCTGCTAGCACAAAGAGACACGTTTCACTGAAAGGCAGAAGGGATTCCGAAAGGCAGAAAAATGGAACTGAGGGTGGCATGACTTTCCAAAGAAGCCAAAGAGAAAACGCATATAATTTCCATCGTCACACATATATATGCGAGATTGTTTGTCAGTAATAGCATTCGTGTGTAAGTATTACTGCGCAACCCCAGTATCGTCAATGTGAAATTCATTTGCCTCATTCCCCCGGGGGGAGGTATGCTCGACGGACCTTTTAGGGTCGAAAATAAAACCCTCGCGTACCTTTTAGGGTCGTGACTTGACTCCGTACCTTTTTGGGTCATTTTTTGAACAACGGGGAAAAAATTGAAGATGTTTTAATAAAGAAATAGATTCTAATTAACCTCCAATCTATCGACATTGATTTTCTACAGTTTGTTAAACTTAAGCTTTTCTCTTCTTAAAGACGTCAAAAATGCTCGTACCTTTTAGGGTCTGGAATCGATACCTCAATTAATTTATGCGTACCTTTTAGGGTCATTTTTTAATCAGTCCGTCGAGCATACCTACCATGCTTTATAGGGAAGTCCCCCCCCCCTCCCCCGGGCCTCACTCATTGCTTTTTTTCGGTATTATAAAGCATTAGAAAGCTTTAAAACGACTTTAGCTGATCCACTGAGATATATCTATAGTGCAAATCTCTTTTTGATGGTATATTTTGTATTTAAATTTGATGTTGATTTATTGATTGGAACTTCAACCCAAGTCGCAGAAAACTCATCAAGAACGTCAAAACATTTCGGGTAGCGAAGCAAAGCATTCGCTAAAATACTTCTACCAACGGTTTCATAGATAGCTCAGTTTATGAACCATTTGGATTCTTAAGACTATCTTGGTATTATTACCGATTTTGTATTTGCTTTTTATGACCATTTTAACTTGATATCGTGCTTTGTCGCAATGAAATTACTTTTATCTCCTAGTTCACTTAACAACGTTTACACTTCCTCGATATGGCCCGATAAACGTCGGCTTATCTAAAATACTTATTACAGTACGCACGTTCTTTTGGTTCTGACTTTCAAAATATAAAAACGTCTTAATAACATTTTAAATGTCTTTTGACGCCTTTTTAAACAATCTCCAGAGACTGTAAATTAAAAAGGTAAATGTAAATYTTTAATAARCCCGGCGCCTYTTTGATTCAACTGAAAACAAATACTGACAATTCTCATTCCAGTAATTCATTTTTGTTTGTTTGTTTGTTTGTGTTTTATTTTTTTTCTATCGGAAATTATGATGATAACATTTAAAGGCTCATGGTCTACCAGCATGCAATGCGTTCGTGTTTCTGATTTTTCATATAATGGAAAATGAGTTGACTTCTCAAATATCTGTTCGCAAATCGCTTCTATTTGTTCGTTTTAAGCTCTAGTCTTACAATATCTTCATTCATATAGTATAAAGGGATAATAAAGAGTAGGTTTTTGCTTATATTACGATGTATTTTCTTTTCAGACATAAACCGAATAAAAGCTTGAAAGGGCTGCCGGTGAAACTTGGCCAGCCTTTAAACGAAAAATTAAAAGATAAATTCATGTCTAAATGACTAAAATAGCCAAATTTATTGACTTTATTTGCGCATGAACCTTAGCAACCCAATAAGGGGCGCCGATACGAAAACAAAACAAACAAAAAATAAAATAATATAAAAAACAGAGCACAACAATTACAAGCTACTGGAAAACTTCAAAACCTAGGAATAAATGAATTAAGATGTATAAAATATTAGAACTCAGACTAAAACTGAGCGAGGCAAGCCTGTAGTTATTCTACGTACAGTAGTACAGATTGGGACGCTTATAATTTCGAAAAACTGTGCGAGTATCATCAATTTTTAAAGTTATAAAAATAGAAATAAATAAAGTTAGACTGACTTGGACAAAGACATTTACGATTCCTCGACGTAAAATATATACCGTCAACTTTATACCTCAGTTGACATCAACTAATTTGCAAGGATATGGTCCTGAACTCTATTGAAGCAGCCTTCAAAAAGGAGGCAGTTGTAAAGTTTTTCTAGTAGGGACTTTCTACGCAATGAGACACAGTTAAATTACAATGAGTATACATTAACTTCAATGAGTATTCGGAGAACACTTTTCCATAGCWCCTCTCAAGCTCATAGTTCACATCAAGCATCCTTGGCAAAGTATTTTAATTTGTTTT